GGGAGGGGGAGACAGGCCCGCGGGGACGCCTCTGCCCGAGAGGCAAGGGAAACCGCCGCCGAAACCGCGCACCCGCCCTGAACGCGCTGGGCCTTCTCCTCAGCGACCGCCTAAAGCTCCCCCGCCCCGGCAGGCCCGGCGCCTGGCTGCTCGGGGCAGAGCTCGCCTTGTCCCGCGAGTTCCTCCGGCCCCGGACGCGCGAGCGGCAAACACGACAGCACGCAGGCAGGCTTTCCTGTTTTTTATTTCAAATTTACATCGAAGTTAGAAAGGTAAATAACAGCGCCGGTTCTTCAGTGTTTGTCGCGTAAATATATAACTCGGTGCAGTTCTCGCGCACTTGATTTGTAAAAAGGAAACAAAACCAGGAGGGGGGAAGAGAAGCCCGCAGCGAGCGCTCGGAGAAGCGTGCAGCGAGCAGAGCGGGGCAGGACGGAGGAGCGAGAAGCGCGAGGGCTGGCTCCGGCACACTCTAAGGACCCTGCACCCTGCTCACGGGGGATTTGGATGGATCGCTATTACTATCGTACCAGCTGTCAGCATCGCCTCCCCCTCCTGACGCTGCTAACTGCTTTCTGACTTCAAAGAACAAGAGGAGGTTTAGTTAGGAAAAAAGAAAAGCACCACTCGACCCACATCCACCAGCCGATGGAGCTTGTTTAATAAGGTGGTGAGACACAGGAGGACACCCATGAAAACACACAGTTCTTCTTACTTTATTTCTTTGTTAAATGTTTCGTGGCTGCCAACAGAGCAAATTGCACCATGTTTATATTTCCTTTGACTCTGAATGCACAGTTTCCAAAACCAATCAAACAACAGCATATTGAAAATACTCCTTAGGCTTCAACACCTCGTGGAAGCCCGTGACATTTATATTATTAAAGACAAAATTAGAAAAAAAATATGCCCATAACAATGTTTGAAAATGTATTCGCTACATCGTTAGTCCAAACATCACATTTCTGTTGCTCTTCAAAATTCCAGGTAAACAACCAGTTCTCCCGTATTACCCTGTCTTGTCACACAAATTACAAGACACTTCAATTTTAGATACCATGCAAGTCAGTAAAAGAGCTTCTTTCCAAGACACTAACACTGAAGATTTGTTCCCCCCCCTCCCCAGACACAAGACCCTTAAACTCTTCTAGAAGTGGCAGTCTTCTCCCTCAGACCCAGTGCAGCTGGCGAAGACAGATTAAAAAAAGCTACAGAGAGAGAAAAGGGGAAAAAGAGAAAAAAAACCAGAAGATTAGCAAAAAAGAGAAAGACATTCAAAAAGCAGGAAAAAGAGATGCAACATGAAAACAGCTGACAGAGGAGAGATGGAACCTCCTTGTGGTACCCTCAAGTACTTCAAGGAAATCACACAAGTAAAAACCTTTTTTCTTTCAAGTCTTTAAAGAGACTTTACGTAACTTCCGATAACATTCTAATAAGGCAAATGGTCAGGAAGAACAGCCAGTGACCTGCAGTATGGTAAAAAAAAGCCACATTAAATGGTTCTTTTAGCAGGTAATCTAGAAATCACTGACAAACTGATACTGACTGGTTTGGGGAGCAGGCTGACATTCAACAGTAGAGGAACAAGTAAATACTCCAATTATTTTAACTTGCTTAAAAAAACCCAAAACACAAAACAGTCAAAGACTTTTATGGGAAATAAAATTGTATTTATGGTGAAACAGAATACCTGAGAAAATACATTGCAATCAAGAGTTTTAACTGCCTTGATTGCTGGAAACGGCGGCCAGACCGTCGTTTGATCTGGGTTACTGCATAAGCTTTGCTGCTGCCGTGAGCAGCTGGCCAGACTAACACATCGTATGCAGAAACTGTTCGCGGGGCTTGAGCATCATCCAGGCTACCTTTCTAGTAAAATTCTCGGCAGCGGCTTGCGCTACGACCAGCATTACCTATCACGGCTAGGTCTGAGGTGTGCTTATCTTCCAAAAACCCAGGATTTGAAGGGTTTTTGTTGAAACTATTTGGCAGCACGCATCCTGATCTTTCAGCAGGGTCAGGACCTGTGGATTCACCCACATACAGAGAACTGAGCCTGCACACAGTGCGACTGAAGGATCAGGGTCACAACAAGCAAGTCTGAAATGGAAACGAGGATTACATGCTAGTCTTCAGGTAGCATGAATTAGCAAAAGAAAAAATAAAAGCAAATAAGAAAAAATAGATGATGTCATAAAAATGACACCAAGTATGAAAAGTTTTTTATTTCTCAACTATATGATAATTAAACTAAGGTGGTGGTGTCATTTTAACGTCACCAATAAATACATTTAAACTGCATTGTTATTTCGCCAGCAAAAATAACTCACAGAACTTATTTCCACATCCCTTATTTATCTGGGTGGAGAGGGGCCAGGGGAAAGGGGAACCCATTAATTGCAGGGGAAAAAAAGAAGTAGGATTTAAAGTTGCAGCATCCAAAACCTTGTTAGGACTAATTTTACATTGTTTAATAAAAGCAATAACCACCAGTACATAGTAAAGACAGAATCACAATGAGGATATAGGAGAGAGCAAGGGTAACACCATGGAAAGGTCACAGCTGAAATGCTGTCACGTTTTATTAGACCCTCCGATTTAACAAGTAAATGAAGGTCCATTCCGGCCCATTGTATTCAGGGGTAATTACTCAGTACAGAGCCATGGGTTACTGTAAAAGAAGGGCAAAGAAAACAAAAAACAAAAGAAGTAAATGTTAACCAGAATTCACTGTCTGATGAAGTCTTTATTTAAAAACAAAACTCATCCAGAAATACACAGAGGAGACACCTGCTGGCAAACCACAGTTGCACTTGGCCAGAGTGAACTCCTGGCCCCAGTGAGCAAAACACCCTCCTTTTTAGTGCAAATCTTGCAGTAAAGCAAGGCTTTTGCTGAATAGAAAATATGAGAAGCAACCTGCCAGCATCTGTACACTTATGAACAGATGCTGGGGGGGGGGGGGGGGGAGGTAATACTTTTTGCATTGAAACCAGAAATTGTTGGAATCACTGAGAAGAAAGTCAAAGAAACACCATCGTCTTTCTTCACAAACACTGATATGTACAGCAAGGTGACCAGCCTTCCCTGAGATTGGATCCAGGATGTGCATCCAGGCCAGCACACTGAGAGGGAGACAAGGCAAGAGATCCTTCGTGACCCCTGCAGCATTCAGAGAACACTTAGTTGCAAACCGTGGATCCAAGTTTGAGAATCCCCCAAGCCCGGGGACTAGAGGTTTGGACTCAGGCCCACGCCTGTGAGGATGTCAAGTTTTGCAAAAAGTCCTTTAAAATTATTTGAGTCACACACGGCAGCACAGAAGGGTAACGAGGGGTTAGATACAGCAAATTGAAAAGGGGAGAGGGCAGCCAGTCTCTCGAGACAGCACGTCCCACCCCACGGCAGCATCAGGTTGCATTCACAGCGGTCCCACGACAGGGGCTAAATGCACACCACCAAGCAGCCGCGCTCTCTTACCATGCAGCCCTCGCACAAAATGGAGGGAAAGACAAAAAGCCGAGCAATGGAGCAGAGGGGACACTAGCCCTACGAGCGCTCAGCAGCCTGCTACTGCCCAAAGGCGAAGAGGTATCAGCAATGAGCATCTCTTGCCAGTTCCATGAAGGCTGTTGCTGAGTTCTTCACAAGAACAACCATAACCCGGAACAGCCAAGAGTGTGGACTCTGGCTTAAAACAAAATGGTGAGCGCAGGAAGGGAGCAATGAGTAAAGGTGAGCAAACAGGCACAATGGCATAGCTGCATGTTAACCGAGTGTGGGGGGCATTCGCTTCTGGTGTGAAGGGAAAGGTTCTACAGGAAACCTGAACTGAAAATGAAAGAAAAAGGCAGATTAATGGTTTTATGGATTAATGACAAAAAACAAAATAAGAATATAAATGTTTCCTAACACACACACACACAAAAAAAAAGAAATGTTGCTAAGTGTTAATAAGGTTTAATTTGATTACAAAACATGCTTTATGCAGACACACACATGCATACACGCACACACACTCAGCAGTGGGATGAACCGAATTTATTTTCTAAAACAATCCTTTCACAGTTTTGCAAGCTACAGGACTCATCAACTGTGACTTGTTTGTATCCTTGCAAAACAGTGGAGCCCTGCAATACTTTATGGATCAATATGGAGAGTATTTTTCTGAATTCTGGAAAAGTACCATATATACATATTTAATTTAGCAAGGACAAATGCCCATTGAAAAAGGCACTGTCTGCATTTGTATAGCAGGAACAAAGAACTTCATTTGATTCAAAGCCCGGCACACAACAGCGTACAGTTACGAGGACTGCCAAAAGCAATCCAAAACCAACAAAAATCAGTAATGTTCACTCTAACTGCACTTTAGGCGTGCCTTTGTACTCAGCACCAGAATGAGCACTGTTATTCTTTGAGCTTATTTTTCCACATTCAGAGCCTGATAAGCAGAGAATTGTTCTTTTCATTGTTTTACAGTTACCGTTGGCAGCAGAGACATTCATTCAACCGGACTGCTCAACACGACTGCAAGCTCCAGTTCGAGTCAGTGCAAGACCCTTCTGAAGCTCTTCTGTTAAGTGGAACGTCCCATTGAAATTAAATTCAAATGCCTCTCACTGACAGCGTAATGTTTTCTTGCTTTTCCATTTCCCTTGGTGAAACTAGGAGGGAAGGAATCCTGGAATCAGCTTTTCCCTATTTAAGGGCAGACCGTAAGCTAGTTTGGACTGTATCTTGGCATGTAAATCCTAGCTTTGTCTACAGGGAAGGGTGGACTCGAGGCTGAGTTTTTAGGGTATTTTATAGTTAAGTGCTGCTGTTCCAACAGGTCCCTTCTCCAAGAAACCTGCACACCTCAGCCTGGGGTGCTGTCACCCTTGCTTGGATAATAAGTATTGCTGCTCTGTCAAGAAGCGAGACATTCCTGTGGGAGCTTTGTTTTTCCTCTCACCAGAGAATCAACAGCAAATTAAAAAGGCTCAGTTAAACACAGTCAACCTAGCTGTAAGTAGACCACTGTCATTAACAGTTTAACTAATAACCCTAATGAGGATGCAGCTCTCCTGCCAGGCAGGTGCATTTCTTACGCATCTTTGTTTAAATGAGCCTTCATTTTACAACAGATGCTGGCACTTTGCACTGCAGACACTTGCTTATGGCCAGGTTTGTTAACCCTTTCAGGCAACCTTATCTGTTCCACAAGCCTGCCTATGACTATGTGGCCAACTTACATCCCTGCTCACATGAAGGCAGAGACGCTCTGGACAGAGTCACAGCAACTGGAGCAGAGCAGACTCACAGCATGACACCACTGACAGGGCTCTCTGCTCCAGTGGGAGCTCTCCACGCCTTGGCAAAACTCCTCAGGAACTCAGATGCTGGCCTTATTCAGGGGCAAAGTGTTCTGGCAGGCTTTCTGGACACATCTTGAATGTCCAGCCCTCTTCTACCACTAGCCTTACCCTAACCATGGGCACGCTTGGCATGGCTCCCAGGAGTGTGGGTCTGTGTCTGTCCACTACAACTGAACATCCAATCCATGGGTGACCCATTTGACTGTTAAAAATGTCGTAAAGTCTCTCAGTCTATCTTCAGAGCCTTCATTATCTGCTAAATGCTCAGCCCATCATCTCTTGTGGTTTTGGACAATCAACTATAATCGGTCAGCAGGTGAATACTGGTTTGGTTACTTGGCAGTAGCTTCTTTAACGCCCTCTCATACATACATACACACACACTCATACACACACAGAGTCTGGTGATTCTCTGGTGCTTTGGGACAAAGGAAAGCTCCAGGTTTGGCAGATTTTACCATCTGTTAGTATGTGAAGGGGGGGGATAGAAACTAGTCTTGCATCTACCTTCACCTGCACTGTCACCACAAGTTAACACTACAACTTGGAGGGGTGGGAGGGAAGGAGGAGAAGGGGAAAAGACATTTTCAGGGCTAGCTGGGTTTATCATCAGCACCACATCTCCATAGCAATTGTTGCCATAGTATCAACATGGCCTACGTGATTAAAGAATGCAATTTATTTCTAAGGGAGATGGAGTAAAGAAAACGGAGCCAACAAAGTGCTGGGAAGGTTTAAAAGGAAGAGGACCTAATCCTTGTTTTTCTACGTTTCATGTCCTAATACTGAGTCTCTCTGCATTTTACTTCACGGAATCTTTAAAGACAAACTTCATCGCATCCTTTTTCGACAATTGTGTATGTAGAAAGAGACTGATAGAGCATGTATAAGGGTGAAAGCAGAGGAAGACAGAGATAATACTTATAGGCTTCTGGACTTGCACAGGGTCTGCTTTTTTAGGAAATGTAACTGATCCCACTGTGAGGTCTATATTAGTTAATGACGCTTACCAGGACAATGTGCCTCATGCACCATGCAGCCAAACAGCAGCTAACTGTAAAACAGCATACATGTAAGAGCTAATAATGATGATAATGATGTAACAAAAACAAAAAAAAAAAAAAAGAAATCAAGTCATGATTAGTGCAAATTACAGAGCTTGGGTTTAAAAGAGTCACCTGTGAAAGGAAAAGGCTAGTGTACTGCCAGCCAGTAGTAAACAAATACAATTAAGCTACAGCTTGTGAAATTCATGGATTGTTAGAGATATTTATGATCTAAATACTGAAATGAATCATTAAGGACAATTGGAGAAGTTACAGAGTAAAGAAAGCAGCACCATTTCTAACACAGCTATTTTCCTGGAGGAGAGAGAGGCCTCCTAATACCTTCCCAAGCCTTACTCAAGCACTGACCTATCTCTTTCATGGAGTTTTCTGTGCCTTTCTGTGTCCTTAACCGACAAGGACGGTACCAATGCTTTTCCATATGAATGTGCCTGGTGTCAAGGAGCTCTTCTGAGATCAAAACTGCTTCTAGGAACAAGAGTGTGACTTGGGCCACAGCGACTAATTGCTCATACTGTAGGGCATGTCGTCTCCCTTTTCTGCATTCCTGACCCTGACTGATCTCAGGGCTGAAGTCTGCAGTCCTCAGTGTGCAGATGTCTGAGGGCTCTAAGTATGAAAGAACTCAGTTGTGTATTCCTCACAAAGTCCAGGCTGGGGAGAGAAGTCTGTCCCCAGTCAGTCTCAGGCTCCTCAGTATGAAAAGATATTAAAACCCCCTGAAGGTAATTCAAAAGAGCAAATCAAACTACACAGTGGAAAAAGGAACGGACAAGCGAGAAAAGGGCAGGAGCGCTAATTGCTCATCGCAAAAGAATGTTGACATTGAAGCAGCTCCAGCTCAAAACTAAGACGACTAAACCAGGATCTCATTCTGGTTATTGGGTTTTTCCTCTCCTGTCTCATTTGATTCCAAGCTTAACAGTCATGGGCTATTTTCCCTGACAGAGTCCTGTCAGCTTTTTGGGCACGTGCCATATTGTTCATATTAACAGCACTTCTCCATGTACTTAAGAGTGTGTAGCGCAGGCAAGATTTACTCTGGATTTGCCCCAGGGATGTGCAGAGAGGGGATTATGGCAGTGGTATAGAAACCAGACCCTTGTTTATCTGCATACCGCTCTTTGTGCACGTGCTAAGGTGGCACAGCACTCCATTTTGGGAAACGTACCACAGCGAGAAGAAAAGGAACTGCTCATTGCTAGGTGAACTGGGAGGCCTGCTTCAGCTGTACAGCTCGTTGCTCTTGAGCAACTGCAGAGCATTAGGAGCCTGGCACGGGCACTGCAGACGGCCCAGATCACAGGACCCTGATGAGGGGCTGGATCCTATTACACCAGTCCCTGGCATGGGGAACCCCTGCTAAAGCCATGCAGTATCTCTCACTGTTTCTGTGGAGGGCAAAAAGCTGATTTAGGGCTGGAGAGAGTACTAGCGCTAACAAGGAGCTATGACCTGTCCCCTCATTTTGCAGCCTTACATTTTGCAGGTTACAGAATTCAAGACTATTAGTGTCCCTGAATAATTTTCAGTGTAAGCTCCTTCCCAACCTAAACAATTAAGAGCCTGAGACAGGACACACTCCTCTCTGGGGGTAGCAGGGATGTCCTGCTACCTACACCCTAGCCTTGGCAGCCATTATTGTTCCACTTCATTACAGGCACTGACAGACCAAGGGAGGAGCAGGGAATCTCAGGGACTAAGAACAAGTTCATCCTCTCCCATGCTGTCAGCAAGCAATGAGGGAGGTTAGCACCGCTCTCTGCTCTTCAGGATGACGGCTAAAGGTAAAATGCTTCCAGCTACTGCTCAGCATTACTAGGGATTAAATCTGGCTGCAAACCTTCTGAAGAGGACTGGCTAGGTTGGGAGAGGTATGAACATCCAGAAAAATAGTGAAGGAGAACCATTACCAAAAAGCAAATACCACTGGGTTAGCAACTTACTTTTTCCTTTCCTTATCTCTTTTAAGAGTTTGCGATCCTCCAGCCTGCTGAGCCTGAGATTGGAGCAATTCAGCTGCTGTCTTCCTTTGTTTAAATGCATTTACTTCATCATCCAGAGACGACTTCTTATCCTCTAGCTTCTTTTTTTCATCCTGATGTAACTTCTTCAGGCGATCAAACTTTTCGTGCAGCTAGAGGGAAAGGAGAGAGGTGAGCAGGACCCAGCACTACCAGATACTCTGTTCACAGGAAAAGAGGAAGATGGAAGGATCCCATGAGATCTGAGCCTGCAAGTCTCCATTAGTCTCTACATCACTTCTAGCTCCCTGAGCTGACACTGCGTAGACAAAAGGCAGGGAACAGTTTCCTTCCACAACAGCTTACAATCCAGGCAGCATTCTAGTGACGCACCATTGCACAGACTAACAATAGAGGACTGGGAGTATAACTGTAAAAAAAATGTAATCCATTTCCAGGGGCCTCTGCCTTATTCCACTTTAAAGGTCAGTAAATTAATGGATTTTTCACAACGCTAAGCAAGTTGTATGGGTATATTTTTTATATAACAAGCTTGTATCAGGGGCTGTTTCTCCCTTGAATTTTGCCACACTGCAACTCTTCATCAGAATCAAGACTATGGCACTTTCATGGTGCAGTTAAGTTGTACACTACAAGCACTGTGATCTAGTTTTGTCCTACAGGATGAACACCTTAATGTCCCTGTGACCCCAGGTTAAATTTTAGACTTCTTCATAAGAAAGTCTTAAACCACACTCTGCAGAAAGTGCTTTGGCAGCAGCTACCTACTTGGGAGTGGATCTATCACTCACAACCATGAAGAGACAAGTACTGCAGTCTTCACCTCTTTTTCAGCCTCCTTCAGCTCCGCTTCTTTTTCCTTCACCCTCTGGACAAACATTTGCCTCATTGCCTCTTCCTTTTTCTGCAGTTCCCCCAGAAACTCATTTCTTTTGGCTTCATAAGTTTCTTGTAAGCTAAAAAGAAAGGAAAGTCCAATGATATGACTCGGGACAAACTCTGCTTCCCCTGAGCTTCTGAAATCAGGCCCTCACCATGAATATCGCTTGCCCACAGCACATTTGCCACTCACCCACCCACGTGTGTCTGAGGTCTTCTTTATCCAACCGTTTCTGGGGTCTGTAAGCTATTGCACTTTTCTGTATGTTGAATGTTGGGCAATTCAAAGAGACCAGCTGGCAACAAACACTATGTTCAGAGGGACACTGCTGTATCTCTGCAGCACAGACACTTCTACTCCTATACTTGCATTTTCACAGTCAATCCTGCACATGCTCTCTGTGTTTTCACCTTCTCTCACTCAGCCAGCACCTTTGCTGAAGTCTGGATTTATCTGACCTGGCAGTTTTCTTGCTGCATTGGTTCTTTACATGCTCTCTCAAGGACACACACATACACACACACACGCAGCGCATCCAACAACGCCTCTCTCGAGCTCTCCTGTCTCCTCCAGGGATCCCACCTGAAGGGTTTGCTGTCTGGATCGGTGTCCTTGAAACCCATCTCTTCCAGTTTACATCGCCGGTACAGCTCATAGTGGCGTGTGTGGGTCTGTTCACGAAGGTCTTCCATGTTCACACGGATCAGCATCTCCCGCAGCTTCACAAAATCGCAGTGAGCTTCATTCTCCACTGTAAGAAGACATGATAAGGAGTAAGATGGGGACAGAAACAAAGGTCTCTTCCCACATTTCCCACCTGTCTACTCCTCCAACAGGTTTAACAGCCCTTCTGAGCAGAGAAAACTGTCACTATAGGCCTGACACACAGATTTACCAAAGGATAATCCCTGGGGAGATATTAAAGTCCAGCAGGCCCTTGCTCCTCTTACGAGAGCCCACCGCCTCCTGGCAGAAGTATCACCATTCATGCCATGAAAATCCCAGGGCTCAACTCACCCTGCACTGTGCCCCAGGGGTACTGACGAGCTTTCATCATTTTGTTTCCTATTTTCAGCTCCTCCGTGCTCCCGATCACTGCAAACGGCAAATGGGCCTGGAACACATTTAATGATACCCACGTTAGTCCCTCTCAACTCTGGCTGACTTGCCAGCACACAGAGATTAGCACAGCCACTGAGCAAGACAGTCATTATGCACACGCTAATCTCAGGGAGTCTAGTCACTGGCCACTAGCCCAAGACAAGGGGGGAGAAGGGAGGGTCCTTTTTGGAAACCTTGTTAGTGCTACCACTCCATATCCTCTACCTGACTGATCCTCCCAGCCACAGGGTCTCAGGTGAGATGAGCCAGTGCAAGACTAGCATCAGAATGACAGCTTGAACAACGTGCTGCGCGGCTCTGACTGCGGTGCTGTCCCAGGGGCTTGCCGCGGCTGAGGAGAACATCTGCACAAGCACAGAAGCAATAAAAGAGGTCTTGGAGCCTTCTTGATTTTGTCCCCCCACCACTCCCTCAGCTCACACTGGAGCACAAGACAACTCACTCTATCAGATCATGAGATCGAAGTCCCTCCTTCACCCCCAGAGAAAGTGTTTTCCTCCCTGCTTGCTTCAGCCCTGGTGAGGAAGGGCTGAACATGTCCCTGCTCCGGGTCAGCCTCCGCATCCATGTGTGCTCTGAGGTCTGCCCCATGCTGAGCTGGGAAGGACTCTGCATTCCCTGGGGCTGTGCGGAGCCTGCCCCATGCTAACACTCCATAGTGCCTCAAGCTTCCTGCGGCTCTGTTGGGGCCCATCCTCAGCACCCCCTCTCCCAAATCCTTTATCAAAACTGGTTCTGAGAAACCCAAAGGAGTGCCGATGGCTTTATAAAGTCCTTATGATGTTGATGCTACGTGCAGCCACTGCTAGATGGCTGCATAGCTAGAGGACAAAGGAGGCCAAATCCAGGGATCATACCCATGAGGAAGGATCCTGGGGACAGCAGAGCAGAGCTGTACCGCTAGCTCAACTGTGCCTTGTTACGCTCTTCAAGCCAAGACACACACTCCACAGAGTACAGTTGTTACAAGTACATGAAGGTTGACTAAGAACAAGAGGGATTTCCTTTTCAAAAACTCAGAAATAAAGAATAGTCACTGCTTAGTAAAGAAGATAGATAGTCTCTCTGCAGAAGACAAAAAGTAAGAGAATCGCCCAGTGCAAGCTCAGCAGAGTTGGAACAGAAACACTCCCGACATCTCTCTAGGCTCAGAAGACCTCATCTTATACTCCTCTCATTCCCCAAACTCAGGCAGCCAAGCAAATCCCCCAGACACTGCTATCGTACTTTGCTGCATTTATCTGTTGTGCAATAAGTGAGATCTCTCCCCACCTCCGCTTGCTCCTGCGAATGATATTGCATTCTGCCAAGCTGCAAAGAAGTCAAGTGCAAGGTTTCAGCACTTAAAAATAAAGTTGCCAGCTCCCTGCACCCACCCCTTCTGCTGAGTTTTGCGCAGTGACATTTGTTAGCTACAGCTTTTAAAGTGCGCTGAGTTCTGGGCAATTAAAGGGGCCCCAGGAAGCCAATTATGTGGGAGATCAGTGACCCCGGGTTGTTGTCAAGAGCAGGTAGTGAAGTTTTAATTCCACAGGTTACCTGAAAACTTGGACAAGTTCATGACAGCTGGTACAAGCAAAAGATTTCAGAGATGATGTTTTCTGCTTTCAGAGTGTGGCTCATACAGTCCAACTGCAAATACAGCAAAACCACCTGCAAGCACTCACAAAGGTGGGCTCTTCAGCTTTTATCCCTTGGCCTCCCAGCTCTCGCATGGGACACACGCAGATTAAGTGGGGCTGTGGTCAGTCCGATGGGGCCATCCTGGGCCATGCAGAGGCTCTGTGCACCGGGGTCTCCTAGGTCGCTCTCCGTGCCGAGTTACCATTGCAATCACATTGATGCGCTAGCACCTGGAGGGACGCAGGCCAGCACGGAGCTGTGCCTGCTCTGCGCAGGGTAAGTTCCCTGCGGGAGAGGCCAAGCAGCAGAGAAAGGAAAGTGA